ACAATTTATAATACTATCGGCTAAAGAATAGAAATGACGAAACAACCATACTGAAACATATGTATTAACAAAATATACAAATATAAACGTTATCTCAAAATGTATAATGTCTATTAAAACACCCCGCAGCATCTGTCACCATTTAAACGTGTCACTATTGTGAGGCACCTTGTGAATTCTTTACTAAAGAAGAGCAGATAAAATGCTATTAACGTGCTAATCAGCGGCCAGTGTGATAAACGGAAGTGACGTGCGTGCATGTGTCGTCAATGTCATAGCAACCAAGTAGAACCTGCGTCATCAATACTTCTTATATTCGCCATTTTGAACCGACTGCTGGGGTTCTAGCGTCCGTTTTTCTACAACGTTAAGACATTTTTTTTTTTTTTTCAACGTAATAACTATTAATCTTCCTTCAAATAGATTGCAGTGAAGGTATATTCTTCTTCTATTTCCCCAGGTTTGCGAGCCCTTAATAAAGTCTCTGATCTAAGCATTCCATAGTTTATGTGGGAATAGTTTCGGTGTCCCAACGATTAGCTTCGCTGTGATAGCTTCTAGTTAGATAATTACTTTCAGGTGTTGACCATGGCTGGAGGGAACGCAGTCAAAGGAGATAATCAATTACAGCGGATCCAATTATAACGATCTCCTTGTGGGTTCCGATGTTTTAAAAAACTAGAATGCGAAGGAGATGGGAAGGAAAAAGAATACACCAGATGACCCCAAACATGCATGTCTAAAACAAAAACAAAAGTTGCTTATAGAGGGTTTGCTGAAAGCGGATGTGTTCGATCGCAAGAAAAAGGATATCGAAGCTTAGCTGTCAACCACAAGAGAACATGATAAGAACGAATGCAGAAAAATTGCAACAGTAAGCAAGAGACCCCTTTCACGCCCAGAGATTATGGTGTTAGACTACTATTTGTGTACATCCGTCGACAAATTACGTATTCAACATCCTGTCGCCTACTTTTACCTCCCATGGCAGTTCCTGATTCCAATTTAAGGCTGGGTCGATGTGGGAACCCAGCGCCAGTCACTTTAGAAACCAATTACTATCACCGGATGTATTTTTATTGTACAAACATAGGCAGCCAGATAGAAGTTGTACAAGGAGGAATGTACAAGGACAGGTTAATTGAGATCAACAAGGCTAGCTGACTGAGTCGAACTCGGCCCCTCTGTTATCTATGACGATCCTAATTTCTTCGGCACCCGGGAATTCCCGGTAAAATACCCCCCCCCCCCCCCCCCCCTCCCTTCCTCAGAAACAGAATGACGGCTTCCTGAACCGAACACAGATCTTCAGTGTGCGAAAAACAGTTTAATTAACCACGAAATCCAGTACCCCTCTGGTGTCGTGTGCGTGAGTGCGAGCGCGTGTGTGTATGTCTGTGTGCGTGCGTGTGTGTATGTCTGTGTGCGTGCGTGTGTGTGCGTGCATGTTCAAGAGAGTCTGTGATTATGTGGGTGGGAGATAATCCTGTAAATACAAGAGTTTCTGAAAATGTAAATATACAAAACAGTTTTTGGTAGAAACACCGGGACATGCTAACACCCTTGTTACAACAAAATCGGCACTCGGAAATCTGACTAGCCTGCAAAACAATCTTCCAATGGAATAATCAATAACGGCAAAGAGACTGGATGACGTTGGTTTGCGTTGGAATTTGTCCCCAGACTAGCACAGGCGGCTGCAGCCAAGCCGAGGGAGGGTGGATAAGAACCAATAATTCAAACAATTTCTTCTTCTTTTTCTTGGCGTTCAACCGCTGCTAATTCCGGCGTACTGAGAACACCAGCGGAAAATTCTGGGTGTTTGTCCACTTCTTGACTTGGTTTTGTTACAGAACTTGAGCTTTGCGTGCACATCCATTTTACAGATATGGCTTACTTGTGTGCTGACTGTTTCCTCGCCTCTCAGGCATATACACTTCGACTTCGAATGAAACACCCCAAATTAATCGACTTTTTCTTGGGGGAGAGGTGGGGGGGGGGGGGGAACTATATTTTTTGGGGCCCCTAAAATAGGACCATGGAGTTCACATGGGAATTTATTTCATATTAAGTTGATGAAGCCAACTACCTTATTTTGTGTGTGTGCGTGGTGTGTGTGTGCATGTGTATGTGTGTGTGTGTGTGTAAGTGGGCGGGTGTGTGTGTGCGTGTGTGTGTGTGTGTGTGCGTGCTTGTGAGGGGTAAAAGTGAGCTTCATATCATACACCAACGCAGAAAATCAGCTCCAGCATTTTGTGGCTACTTTCCTGTTTTACTAGGTAACATTACTTTCAGTAGTTTGCCATGGCTTGCTGAACGCTTCGATCCACATATCGATGTCGAAATCTACCCAAGAAGTGAACAGTGATATTATCAGACAGACTGTATGAACAACACCTGGTACTAGATCCATCAAGAAACTGCAGATCAAGTGGTCTGGCCTTAATGGCATTACAACAGCCAGTACCAGTCAGCGTGCTCTGGATCGCAAAATTATTCCTCCCCACCGCCCGGCTCTCTAGCGTAGTTGGTTAAACCTGCCTGCGCGGTGACCGGGTAACGAACTCCTTGTGGTCCGGGTTCTCTCCCGGGGGTAGGTAGAAAAGCAATAATTCTCCTAGATTAACGGTACCTATCATGGAATCAAGGCCGAAGGGTTGCGATATCCACAGTACCGAGCCAAAGGGTTAACAACTCATGGCTTCTGGATATAAAAAAAAAAAAAAATCCTCCCCGCTTGGCTTAGTGGCAGAATGTGTTTATCCTAATGATGACGTCAGACACAAAATTAACATCGCTTTTATAGATCATGAAAAGGCTTTTGACAGATTGAACTGAGATTAACTATGAGACGTCCTTGAAAACTATGGTATAAATGGAACAATGCTAGATTGTGTACGAGTTTTTTTTTTTTAAATACAGAGAGTGAAAGCGCCATTAGAACAAGAGCTGGCCTCACAGACTGGTTCCCAGTACCATCAGGAGGAAGGCAAGGGTGTGTTCTTTCACCTGTACTTTTTTATATTTATGGACACAGATATAACACCACCAGATGTCCATAAACAGGAGAACTTCAAAGAGCTGCTCTTTGCCGACGACCAGTGCATTTTCCACAGTGAAAGTAAACAGCTGCAGGACCACATAAACCTACTACACGACAGTTGCCTCAAACAGGAAGATCAATATAGAAAAAAAACAGACGTCACGAGACTAAGTAAGGAGCAACAAATCATCGACATAAAGATCAAAGATCAAAGTCTGGATCAAGTGCAAAAAATTAAATACTTCAGAAGCATCTTTACATTCAATGGTAAAATATACAGAGAGATGGAAGCGACAATCTAACAAGCCAACAATTTCACGTACCAATTTGCTCAAATTTTAAAACACCCTGCTATCCCAATAGAGAGAGAGAGAGAGAGAGAGAGAGAGAGAGAGAGAGAGAGAGAGAGAGAGAGAGAGAGAGAGAGAGAGAGAGAGAGAGAGACACACACACATACACGCACGCGCGCGATATTTTACCTTTTGACAAACCCATCCGACTTCTGCGGGCATTTGTTGACCGGGTTAGCCTTCCCGGTTGTAAAAGTCGACTAATTAGAGCCGTTTCCTTCAAAGTCGGAGTGCATCTGCCTGAGAGGCGTGGAACCAATAGTCTGCTAATAAAGCACGCCATTTCTGTAAAACGTATTTGCACGTAAAACTCCAGTGCTGGAACAAAACTAACATTCTCCTTAGCTCATCACTTTTACCTTGTTATTTGCGAATCCAATGAAACCCACCCCGTTCTCTTTCAGTATCAGAAGAAGTTTCGTACAACGTGCCAAAGAAAAGGAATATCCATGATTAAAATTCATTTCAAGAATTGCTTAAGTGGCAATATAACATTACTGCTGACCATTGGGGAAGCCAGATTTGTAAAGTTTGTTCTGACCATAAGTATAACAAACAAAAAAATACCACCTGAAACCAAAGAGGGGTTTCAGTGATTCACACATCAAGCGTTGGGTGGGACTTGAAGAGGTAATAGAAATATATGAAAAGTATATTAGCGGATGCGATAAAAACACTTCTGACGACCCCAGCTGATCTCTTTCTACAGGTTCACCATCATCATCATCATCATCATCATCATCATCATCATCATCCCGTTGAGTAGTTATACAACACATAAGGGTGTAGTCAATTTTTGTTTGCATTCCGTTCAATCGATCACGTGTAATTTCTTCCCCACAGTTCATTTGTTTGATTGGATACACTTGCTAATATCTTTCATGCGTCAGATATAACGTAACAGGATGGGTTTCATTTAACCACTATCTCTCCCGCTACCCCCCCCCCCCCCCCACCACTCTCTCTCTCTAGGGTGACCATAATATCTTGAGCTGAAAGCAAGACGCCCGGTTAATATTTTAAGCTGAGAACAGGATATTCGTAGTTCAGTTTAACCCCAGCTGCCCACCCCCCTCCCTTCAAGGTTACCGGAGTAAATGGAGTAAAAGCTACTCGTTGGACAGGTGTATTACTTGCTCTTTGCGTTCACCATAATGGTATTCCAGACCGAACTATAGCCACAACAAACGAAATAATATCGACTGTAACTGCGCTGGAAAAAAAGAAATGCTACAATGAAAATTCCCATCAACACATTACAAGGATTACACGTATCTAAAACTACGACATATAAAATGGTATACATATATAAGCATAAGTAAGTGTTTGTTCTGTTGTCGAACTTGTTCCTATTTTTTTTTTTTAAGGAGACAATTGGCACTTTTTCTCTGAGTACCGACCGGACGGCCGGGGCACATCTAAAAAACGGGACATATGGTCGCCATATCTATCTCCCATTCACAAAACACACACTTTTTAACAGAAATAATAACTTGTACGTTTAAGTACAACGATATCTCGCACTCAATCTTTTCTCATACCACAGTGACGCAGTCACCATCTAAACAGGTGCAAATACCCTTTTTGGAATTTCCTACCTAAGTTCTCTAAGATTTTGAAGACGACTGTGAGTAATCCAGAGGCATGGCATCCGTGTCATATTGGAGATCATGAAGCTTCGAATGGGCAGGCATGTTAAACCCACTGAACAGTAACTCGGCGGTGGAATACGCGTGCCAATGCCTGCTCAGTAACAGCTCGGAGTCGGAAGGCCGCAGAATGTCTCGAACAGGCATCTTATCATGGTGACCAGTTGAGTTTCCCTCGTTGCGCCCTCGACTATGGGCTCGAGGTGTTCTACTTTCCAGAGCGGAAGAAGCGGAAATCTCGTGGTTATACGATTTGTATGGAGAATGATAGTGGGGGTTGGTATCGCTATTGCTGCTGCTACTACTGCCACCCTTCTCTACAATAACCGGGTTTCTGTTGATGTCCGAGATTTTGATGCTTGGAACTCTCTGTTTACTGGGCGAGTTCACAGTTCCTTTGCCACCGGTGTGTACTGACTTGCGGGAATGGGAGGTCTTATGTTTGCTCTCTTTTGACTTGGACCGCTCCATTTTATGTTGAGATGTTGGACTGTAATGAAGAAGCGGGGTGAAGATGTAATGATCGTTTGACCCGGGCGATCTTTGGAGCTTTAGTGTTGTCGGCCCAATCAAAGAGGACTTCGGTATACACAACGGCGGTATTGTTTTGTGTTTTGGATTTTTATCGCTTCTACCGGATATGCCCTTTGAACTTTGTCTAGCGGCGGAAGACATTTTGTGCTGGGAAATTGATGTAGTCGAAGATACAAGCGATGACGGCGTAGAAGATGATGGCGAGGATAAGGCGGAGCGATTGGGCGTTAGTTCTTGTGCACTACTCGAGCCTGCACTGATAGATGATAATGCGTCTATCCTCTGATAATGAGATGCTAATGAGTTGTTCAGGATTCGTCTGGATAGCAAAAGGCTGTTAATGTGAGCTGGGTATAAGGGTGTCTTAGGGAATGCACCCGCTTTACTGCTGACGGAGCTAGACTTGGGTATGAGGGTGCTGATTTTGGTCGTCTGAATGATGTTGTTGCTGTATTTTGTTTTCGAGGAGGGCGATGTGCTAACAGATCTTGCTGTGGAATAAGGTCTGGTAGTTTGCGATACGGTTTTTGGTAAGTGGTGAACGGCCGTGGTGTGAGATTCAGTCGTCTTAGAAGATTTGTCCGTAGTAACTCCGTCCAATTGTGTCTGCGAGTTCAGATTCGTTCTAATCTGACTCTTTTGGGCTTCTTTCCCAGACGAACTCGAGACTCTGTTTTGTGAGTAGGAATCAGATGATTCTATCTCTGAGCATTTTATGTCGAAGAGAAAGTTGTCAACTTTAACTGCTTCACTGGGCAGTGTTATGTTTGTAGAAGAGATGTTTGTAGAATCGGGGTGCTTTCTCTGCTGAGGTCGTTTCACTGGCGATGTCTCCGCTGGTGGGAGATTGAGAAAACTGCTGACGGCACAGGCCGGAAGGGCAGTGTTACTGAACGCGGAGGTAGACGTGAAAGGAATGTTGTTTGAACCAGAGACACGGGGTTGTGCAACTTCTGATGAACCACTGGTTGGTGTAAATACTGATTTTATTATTTGTGGGGGAGCACCTTGAGTTTTTGACACATCTGCAGACACAGGCTGCCTGTTGCTCCAGTATGTGCCACCTTTTCCAATGGTATAAGAGGAAAGACACTTGTTTTGTGTAGTTGAAGATGAGATGGCAAGAAGCGAGTGGCGAGACACTGTATCAACAGCCTTTGTAGCTGCTGCTGTTGCACTTGTGCATGACTGAAGTGAAGAGGTTTTGACTGCCAATGGTTTGGTGCCATTTGAATTTGTTTTAACCGTAGTAGTGAGTTTTGTAAGTAACGATGCTGATGAGGAGGTTAATGGATATGTTCTTGTAACAGAGGTCGACATGAGACAGTTGGTACTGGTAGGAAGAATGCATGCTGTTGATGCTAAAGAGGAGGTTACAGGAGAACTTGTCCCATAAACTATGTTTTCCGCTGCCGACTGTACAAGTTTTAGTGGAACAGGCTTAGATGAAGATACCAGATTTGTAACATCACCGGTGTTTTGTGGTTTTTCTGAAGATGCAGTTGTTGACACAAAGGAAGTTTGTCTAGCTGGCAATATATCTGTTTTTGAAGTTATCGTGGCTACATTTTTTGAAATAAGATTGACAGATTTCAATATATCACTTTGCCTCTCAATCTCATGGTCTGAGGGTAACAATTCTTTGAAAACTTCTGGAGAATACCTTTGCTTCCGGCATTCCCCTTTAATGTTTTTAACTTTATTAGGAGCAAAGTGCTGCTTTATACAGCCGCGGGAAAGATTTTCTGAAGGGTCTTCTTTGGCAGACGTAGAGGACGGAGAGTCGGTCCATGTTTCATGTTTTGTGGACACTGGCTTTAGGGCAGATAATGTTTCTGATATGGACTGGCGTATTTTATTTACACAGTTTGGCTTTATGGTGCACACCGTTGGCAATATTAAGATTGTACAGTCTGAAGAAATTGAGCTTCCTTCAGAGGGAAGTTGCTTTGAAAGACTCTTTGTTTTAGCTGCATCTGCATCAGAAGTTTCAGCGTTACCTATTATGCTGTTTACTTTACTGCTTGAAGATGGTGTCTGCGATCCAGGAAAGATTTCATTCTCTTTTGTGTCACTATCGACATCTTTGGCACTTGGGCCACTCGGTTCAGTCTCAAGCTCTTTTGGTTTCTGTAACCTGGGGTTAGGCAGTTTGTGAACATAAGCAGATGGGCTGTCAGATCTGCTTGACTGAGAGTCTTTGAATCCAACGACATTATTTTTGTTGTTATCATAGCATAAATCCTTTATATTTTCAGAATCTGTTGTGGTCGGACAGTCAGCAGCTCCAGAAATAGACCCGACTTGCTCTTTATCTACACAAGTCTCAGACTGCAACAGTTGGGACGCCGATAAGATTTCTGAAGGTTTGCCTGAGCCGTTGGCTGTACTATGTGACTGAGAAGATCTACCTTCTGTCACCGGAGTCGGACCATCGTAAGTCAAGTTGAAATCGCGCTTTCCACTCTCGGTGATAAGCTTCTTGTCTTCATTATCTAAAACATGCCGCTGACTGGAGGAGGACAGCGCTGTTCCCTCTAACTTAATGGAACAATTGTTTGTATCCGAGTTAGCTTGTTCGAAAGAATGTGCTGTTGGTACTGTCTGACGGTGTACGAAAGCCTCATTTTTCCTCAGAAAACTTATGTCATCTACTGATGAATTCGCATCTTTCAGTTCTGCAATTACGTTACCGAGTTGTTTATCCTTAAACTCTGATGTAACTTCCGAATGCACACAACTATTCTCACATACCTCGTTATTATTCTCAGCTTTCTTATCCCGCACATTAGAAACTTTCTCACAGCTCACAAGCTCATTATCTTTCATATCAAAAACACTATCACCATTGTGAAATTTATTATCCTCAACGTCTGATATCCTATCAACATCAAGTTTTCCACCTGTGTCAGCTAAGCCTCTTTTACCGTTGTCAACACTGCTACACTTCACATCCAGACTATCCTTAGTATGGATCTTCATTTTCTTCACCAGCGATACACCTTGTCCCAGATGAACTTGTTTGTCGATCTTGTCAAACTTGGTACAACCGGTACTCCGTACATCGTCCTTCTCATACGGGGAATTTGGGCCACTTTTGATACAAGTAACCTCTATATTTTTGTTACCGCTCTGGCATCTGGTATCCATCACAGTCGATTCACTAAAACGGCTTTTACCATCACTTGCCTTAGACAACACTTCACCATTTGTAAATTTCCCATTTTTTAGCCGGAAAATAAACTGACCATTCACCAGTTGTTTAGTTTTCAATTCCGGTGCTATTTTTCCGTTCACGCTTACCTGAACTTCTGACACTACTTTGCTGTTCTGGATATTTCTCTGTGTCACCTTTGATTCGTTTTTGCAGTTTTTAAGAATGGTGTTTTTAACCTCTAAAAACTTACTCCCTGCTAGAACACTATTATCTTTTATATCAGAAATGGGGTTACCACTGAGAAAGGTGTTATATGTAATCTCCGATGTGTTATCGCCTTTCTGAAGTCTGTTGGTTTGGCCACAACCCGGTGATAATTGGCTATTGCTACGTTTGAAATCGCGACCATCTGAAGACTTGATCAGCAAGGTGATGGAGACTTCAGAGTCTGCAGGCGACTTGGAATTTCTATTTCTATGTGCAACACAAGGATGTGAAACTATGGAACACTGCGTGTTTTCTGTACAGAAATGAGAAGTTACAGAACAGGCTGAACTTTCGCTAGAAAGATGGGAAATTATAGAGCAATTTGAACTTTCGCTACACAAGTGTGAAGATGGTGAACAGTCAGAACTGCTAGGTGTCTGTTTGGATCCAGGACGACAAGCAGTGTGCACTGATGCGCACTGTTTCACTGGCACTATTGTGTCCACACATCTGGCATTCTTTGAACAGGAAGAGGTATCCAACGTTGTGGTGCCACTTCTGGACAAACATGAACTGTCCTTTGTGGAAGATGTGTCCGAATGCTTACGTTTCAGATTTGAGGACACCGCGCCCTTAGCAACAAGTGCTTCCTGTTGTGATCCGTTGCTTGGAGACGAGGTATTGGCCTTGGAGGTGCTCTTCTTTTTCCCGGACATTCGACTCTGTTTCTTGGTATCAGATTTCTCTTTCCTGTTTGAAGACTTCCTGTCTCCACAATTCTTTTCCGGTTTGTCTAAAACCCTACTAGACTTCGACATGGTCTCCGATATATGTGTCACACTCTGTAGTTTTCTCTTCTTTGTCGGCACTTCAAAGAAAGAGTAGAACAGCTGCAGGACGCAATCCTGGAAGAAATAAAAAAGGATAACATAAAATAATATTAACCATATATTTTTTAAGCAAACAGACAGCCAAGGAATATATTGTAAAAATAATTAGTCCGGGCAAAATTGAAAAACAGTCACACGCAGGGCAGTTAAAAGAGGTGCCAACACCAACAGCCGCCAACAAAATTACAATAGGCGCGCGCGCGCGCGCGTGTGTGTGTGTGTGCGCAGATAAACAGGCTGTTGTTTGTTGTTTGCGTTCACCGGCTGTAAACCCCGCCTGAGGGACCTGGTTGTTTGTCCATTTCTGGACTTTGGCCTTGTTTCAGGGCCCGAGTTTCGTGTATGCATCCGTTTTACAGATCTTGTCATTTGTATGCAGGATGTTGGTTCTTTGACACTCAGGCAGATGCCCTCCGACTTTGAAGAAAACCCCCAAGTAGTCGACTCTTACGTCATGCTTGTTGGTGAGGCAGTGGGTCTATTCTGGTTTTCCCCACAATGGGACCCCGGAACGCACACAGTTAAGACAAACATGTATTTAATGAAACGTGTGGGAGAACAGAGCGCGTTATCAAAATGTTGTGATCACAAACATGGCGTAAACCGGCGTTCCTCGATCTTTTTACACCTGCTGCTTACCAGAAGCAGAAGCAAATTTTCGCGACTCACTTGACCGCTAACCACACACGAAACAAACAAAAAATAAAACAACTGTACAAAGTAATTTGTCACAAAATTACAAATTTCAGCTAATGCGCCAAACGCTCCTGTAGTGTTGCTTCTGAAATACGAAGCGCTGTAATAGTATCTACTTGATTTCTTCGTCTGGTTTTAGTCTTTTCACACAAATAGAATGTTGAATGTTAGATTAAGAATCGACATCACTGCACTCGGGTCACTTCTATAAGTGCTCTGTCCCCATCTTCAGAAGCAAACAAAGAGTTCCAATTCCGATGGCACCAGTAACTAACTGCCTGATTGTACATTCGTCTCGCCATTCCCTTGAGTGCTGAGCGTCGGCCAGATGCGTTATGCTGATCACATCACCTACCGAGTACTGATTGATCTATAAAATATAGGTCTAGAACTATACGCCCAATGTACATAAAGGCGTGAAAAGGGTGTTTTAATTTTTTTTTTTTTAAATACTTTTTTTTTTAAAAATGAATTTTGTGACAGTTTTTTAATTTTTTTTTTTATTAGTGATGCGACAAATATATCGGACCGTAAATGTTGGGACAAACAGGCTAAACCACAAATGTTGTGATAAACAAACTACACCTGAAATGTGAAAATTTTTACCACTGAGGTTGTGACAGCGTGTAACCAACTCTATTACAATATAAACAGATTATAAACTCACCCGTTTCCACAAATAAATGTAGGCAACGTCCATCAGCGAGTATGTGTCAAACAAGGGCTCACTCTCATAGAACAGATCAATCTGAAAGAGAATAACATTGTAGCTAACTTTCATAAACATAAAAGCTAATAACTAGACAACGAATCGTACAACAGTTCAATTAAATTTTAAAAATACACTGAAAGAGAATCAATTTTACAAGCGCGCACTTTCATAAAACAGTAACCTGAAATAGAATCGAGCATAAAGCGCCCGCTTTCATAAAACACCAGCCTGAAAGAGACCAATCATACAACGGCAAACTTTCATAAAACACCAGCCTGAAAGAGACCAATCATACAACGGCAAACTTTCATAAAACACCAGCCTGAAAGAGAATCAATCATACAACTGCAAACTTTCATAAAACACCAGCCTGAAAGAGACCAATCATACAACGGCAAACTTTCATAAAACACCAGCCTGAAACAGACCAATCATACAACGGCAAACTTTCATAAAACACCAGCCTGAAAGAGACCAATCATACAACGGCCCGCTTTCATAAAACACCAGCCTGAAAGAGAATCAATCATACAACGGCAAACTTTCATAAAACACCAGCCTGAAAGAGAATCAATCATACAACGGCTCGCTTTTATAAAACACCAGCTTTCATGAGCCAGTGTGTGGAACGTGTAATTTACTTTTCTGTATTACTTTAGGGATTACTCTGTGGAAGAAGTCATTTACTTTTAATTTATTACTTTAGGGGTCATGGTGTGGAAGGTGTCATTTACTTTTTAGTTCAGAGGTCACTGTGTGGAAGGTGTCATTTACTTTTTAGTTCAGAGGTCACTGTGTGGAAGGTGTCGTTTACTTTTTTTTAGTTCAGAGGTCACTGTGTGGAAGGTGTCGTTTACTTTTTTAGTTCAGAGGTCACTGTGTGGAAGGTGTCATTTACTTTTTAGTTCAGAGGTCACTGTGTTAAAGGTGTCATTTACTTTTTAGTTCAGAGGTCACTGTGTTGAAGGTGTCGTTCACTTTTTTAGTTCTGAGGTCACTGTGTTAAAGGTGTCATTTACTTTTTCAGTTCAGAGGTCACTGTGTGGAAGGTATCATTTACTTTGCATTCACAGCTGGTCGCCCTGGAAGCCAAGGTCAGTGTTGAAAATAAGCCCGGCTATGCCAGGATCCATAACCACGACCTTCGGATCAGCAGCCGAGCATAGGATCTTCACTGCACGGGGCACAATGCTTGACCACTTGGCCACGGGGACCTCTCCCTCTTGAGTCAAGTAAAGGTCACCTGTCCCCGTCAGTGGCGACTGGAGCAGAAATTGCTAGATCTATTCAAATCCTTACTCGGTGGATAGTGTGGTTAACATCACGCGGGCCGCCTTTACATACCAGGACATTTCCTCGTAAACACTTTTGGCTGCATCCATCCAGCTGCTATTACTGCCTGTACTTTGGCAGCCCCCGTGGTGTAGCGTCTAGAGCCTCGCTGGCGGATCTGAAGGTCACAGGTTCAGGTCCTGTTAGAGCCGGACTTTTCGATTCAGCCTTCCTGGGAAGTGAAGGCGGTCGCCGTGATGTTGACCAGATAGCCTGCCGAGTGCCGATGGGTCTATAACATATAGGTCTAGTCCTTTGTGCCCAATACGCCTGAAGACGTGGGAAAGGGTCCTTACTGCCTGTATGTACTAAATCTGCGGTGTAGGCAGGGAGGTCTTTGAGCCTGAGGTTTTAGGGTAGCATGGCCAGTGCTGTTGCCACGGACTATGCGTGTTAGGATTTTATGTCCCCAATGAAAAGAGGTTAGTTCGATGTTAGTCTCCCCAAAAAAGTAGGTCACGTTCCATTCATAAGTTTGTTGGGCTGGTCTTCCTTCCTGGAGGTTACGGGTGTGTCGCACTATCGATCGCTTTCTAGGTTGTCCTACATTTACGTTTTTATTTTTCTTTCAAGGTCGACGAATCAGAAGTGAGCTAGTATGCAACATTGTGTAAATGGGCAGACTAACGTCGAACTAACCAAATTAAATTCAAACGACCAAAGGATTTAGGGCAGCATGGCCAGTGCTGTCGCCACGGACTATGCAGGTTAGGATTGTATGTCCCTAATAAAAAAAGAAAAAGAAAAAAAAAACATCACCTGGATGTCCTCTTTAATTCATAAAAGAAAATTACATTAAAACGAAATGCTTCCCACAATCAAAAAAGATAAATAATCATAAAATATGCAGCTGACCTGGATATGTTGAGGTAATGTGAACTTCAACCTAATGAACTTCTTCAAGTGCGAGACCCTCAACCCCGCAGGGCACTTGAGGTAGCGTTTGTCACGTTGGCGCTGGGGAGAACACATTAGCATCCCAATTGTCAATGTCATGAATAAATTAACATTCCAAGGGTCAATGTTGTTAAAACATTGACATCCCAATTGTAAGTATTGCAAACACACTAACATCTTAACTGTCAACACTAAGAAAATACTAAAATCTCAACTGTAAATGTGAAAATACAACATCCTAACTGTCAATATTGTGAACATACTAAAATTTCAACTGTGATTGTTGTGACAATACTATATATCAACTAGGGCTGTACCGAATAGTGATTTTCACTATTCGGCCGAATACGAATAGCGGGACCAACTATTCGGCCGAATACTGTCATAATGTCAAATGTACGCTGAACTTTTACTTCACATAAAGTAGCACAGAATAGTCATCTTATCTTTAGCATTCTGAGCCCTTGAGTTACTGCTGCAGATATCACTCGTCTCCATTCATCTCTCTGGCTGGCCTTATCTCCACAATCTGCATCCTTCAGTGAGTCTGTGGTAACTAATAACTAGGATTGAAAGAATCCTAAGTATTATAACAAGTAACTGAACTTGGAAATTGTCACTGACAGCTTAGTTAATGCAGGAAAGCTGCATTAGCTTTCAACAAAATCAATAGTTCTATGTTGTCAGCATTAAGCCCGTGTATGCAGAAGCGGGTGTGAGGTAACTACTATTCGTATTCGGCCCGACCGCAACTATTCGGCCGAATACCGAATAGTGAATAGGTCCACTATTCGGCCCCGAAGCGAATATTCGGTACAGCCCTAATATCAACTCTCAATATTGTGAACACACTTAAATATCCAGTGCTGTTGTTGTGACAATACAATATATCAACTAAAAATACTGTGAACTCTAAAATCTCAACTGAAAATGTTGTTGAAATACAATATCCCAACTGTCAATACTGTATAAATATACTAAAATTTCAAATGTAATTTTTGTGAAAATACGATATGTCAACTGTCAAAATTGTGAACACACTTATCTCAACAGTAACTGTTGTGAACTGAAAATTACAACTGTAAATATTGCAAATACACTAAACAATCCCCACTGTAATTATGAAAACATAATACTTCAACTGTAAATGTCGTGAACAAGCCTACCTCTAAACTGTAATCCCAACACTTCAGTTATAATAGGTTAGTGTGTCCCGTGTGTCACCGGGACCCTCACGGGAAGCAAAGAATAGTGACACTGCACCCTACCAGGCATGTCGTAAGAGGCGACTAAGGGTAGGGTTGGGCTTGAGGTTGGCTACCTCATCCTGTAAAAACCATAGCCACAAAAACCAACCAACCATGGATAAGTCAATAGGTTAGTTGCGTATCCTTTACAGGACGTTGCAAAACTAACTCCAGCAACCCCTGGCTGTTGTGTGGTTTCTCTAGGCGAATTTACGTCCAGTAGTTTGCCATTGCTTCTGGACGGTAAGGCCCCCTGATATCTCTGTCGAAGCCAACGCAAGGCGCATGGCCCACAGCTGGGATCGAACCCGGCATCCCAAAATTACGAAGCGTTGGCATCGACTTAGCCACAGAGCTGAGTTATAATACCAACAGCAAATATTGGAAGAATACTGACACCATTCTCTACGGTGGATTACAGAGGCGTCGAATATGTCGAAGAAGAGCACCTCAGATATTTGAAAGAGGCGAGGCCCGGCTCGCTAGCGTAGTTGAGAAGAAGGAACATTTTGTGACCATTGGAAAGATCTGTGGATAGAGAGACAGAGGAAGACAGCCTAAGGAGATACTTGAAAACCTTTTGTCATATCATGGAGGGGTGTCATCACACGAACTGTTACTCGCATTTGTGGATCGCAGATTGTGGAGAGGCATGATCGCCTATGCCAGTCGGCAAAGCACTTCGTGATGATGATGATGACGAGAAGACGTCGAGGTTCGGCCTCTACTACGATATAAAGATGTGTGCAAGCGGGATATGAATGATACAGGCACTGAGGTAGATTCATTAAAAAATATTCCATGGACAGTATTGCATGGAAAAGGGAGGGAAGAGGGGGAGGGAAAACGGCCGGGGGGGGGGGGGCAAATTAGGAAGGGAACGGGAATAAAAGGGGGAAAATTTATTGCAGAAATGTTGAGAGCTGAGCGTCAGAGAGGAAGCGCACTAAATATTTGTGATGGCAGCAACCGTCCTGAACTGTCAGGCTCTAATTGTGGCAGACATTTCATAACACGAGCGGGTCTTGCTAGTCACACTCGCCATCGCCAGTGAATGGGTTGTGACTCTTATGCCTCTACACCAGGGCTGCCAATGGAATTTTTTTTGAAAAACCCAGCTTCGCTAAACAAAAACCCAAGCAATACATAGACAAAAAACAAAACAAAAAGCAACCCAGATTGTTAAAATGTACAAAATTTATAGTTACGAAACGAAACATTTACTACTTTTATAAAGACTCCAGAAACTTCCGTCAGTAGATTAAAAAAAAAAAAAAAACTATAGATTACCCCAGCAGGTCTAAGATGTATTCTGTATGCTGAAAATTGTCCACTGTTCACATTTACGTTTAGTAGTTTGCCACAGCTCAGGAGAATACTCTATGGACATGCTGAACTCTTCGTCTTGGGAGAAAATGATCCGGTCTATGCAGAACTGGCCCTAACCCCAACCCCCTACGTCCCACGACTGCATGCAGTCTAGGTCATGTAAGGGGTCCTAACAGGCGCCCCGCTCCGTCACAGAAAAGACACTGGAGACGGAAAATTCATCCCTCCACCCCACCCGCATCAAACATACTGTAGAAGCGCAAAAATGGATTTGGGGGGGGGGGGGGGAATGGGAAAAATCTTAGTCTAATATCATTATAATAATACTTGAAATATAAACAAGAAAAATAACAAAGTGCTGGGCAAGGCTATGGCATACTACAGAAAGTAAATTTGCCTAGAAAAACCGTACGAGCTACAAAATGTTAGGGTTGGTTCTGTAGCGTCCTGTAAAAGAGACTTTTGATCATGGCCAAAGAGGGCTACTCAGTCTACACACAAAATAACTGGGACAAAAGGGGGGACAGGGTGAGTTCCAGGTTCTGGTGCCTATGGTTGATAATGAATAAGCCACATTCGCTGTCATCATGGTCGTTAGGATGTTGTCTGGCTGGCGATTTTGAACAGATGTCCACAGCAACACTCATATAAACAGTGTCTATACGAGCTCGGGCGCGCAAGCTCGCTTGCATGTGTGTACGAACAGACAAATGTGCACTTACAATGTCAGAAGATCGCTTAAGGTGTTTTGTGTTGGCTTCTCTGACTGGTTTCCCGCTGAAAAGGACATAAAATAAACGGTTACAGTGTTCTCTCTCTCTCTCTCTCTCTCTCTCTCTCTCTCTCTCTCTCTCTCTCTCCCCCCCTCTCTCTCTCTCTCTCTCTCTCTCCCTTCGGTTTAAAGAGCAACCACTCCGATGCGAAATCAAGAAACCCCGCTCACTCGGCTGTTATGAAGTAACCTCGAATATATTAACCCCCCCCCCCCGCCTTTCTCTCTCTCTCTCTCTCTCTCTCTCTCTCTCTCTCTCTCTCTCTCTCTCTCTCTCTCTCTCTCTCTCTCGCACACACGCACACACACATAAATACATAGAAAGAGACCAACGCATGTTGGAAGAATTTTCGACAGAGTCAAATATCATAAACTCTTTATGGACTAGGCTACTGTTGTTAGCCATGAATCTCTAACACTAACACGACTACACGGCAAGGGAGTCAAGCACGGCGGCGCTCGTCTATGCCGCTTTCGATGCAAAGATAGGAGACATTATAATTACCTCTAAGAAGGAACAATCAGTAGTAAGTTGGTGTGGCTGTAGCATGGAAGGACTAAGCAATGCAGGTGAATGCCCGAATGTGCAGTGACGTCGACGATGAGAACATAACACAGAGTCGATAGTCAAGGTTTCGGCGTCACTGCAAAAAGGCCACTCTTCAATTGCGAAATTCATGCAAATTACCCTTGACTGTCACATTTAAAAGCAATGCTTTCTCTTCTTTTATCTTCTATCCCCCAATAGAGCATAGGCCTTGAGCCTAACTTAGTCAAGTGGTTCCATCCTTCGCTACTGCATGCCGCTCACCCCATGTCCTCTTGATCTTTCTAATCTTTCTAGCTCTCTTTCCCGAGAGAGAGAGAGAGAGAGAGAGAGAGAGAGAGAGAGAGAGAGGGAGAGAGAGAGTGTGTCTGTGTGTGTTTGTGTGTGTTTGTGTGTGTGTGTCTACTATTATTTCTATGGCCCGGTCTGTGAGTTCCAATGCAAAGACATTCTGGTTATACTGTTCTAAGGTTTTCTCAACCTGTGTCCTTTCCAATGACAGTGACTTTTCTTTACCTCCTGGTCCACTGAAACTTGCTTAGTTCTCTCTCCCAAAGCTCGCCCTTAGTGATTCTATCATACCCTTTAATTCCCTCTATTCTGTGCAGCCACCAGTCAATAAATGTTTGTAGTTTATTAATAACTACCTTAGTTGTTCTCCATATTTCCGCTCCATAAAGCAGTTCTGATTTGACATTCATCATCATCATGTAGCAGGTCCTTTGCTGAACGTCGCTCTTATCACAGTCTGCCTGAAAGAAACTCGGTCTCTCGCCAGCTCTCCCGCCTCATGTACTTTCATACTCAAGGAGTCACTTATATCATGTGCCCATCTTCGTGTTGGTCGGCCCCAGCCCCTCCTTCCTGGTACCATGCCTTCTGTTATATTTTCCAATCCGTCGTGGCGCTTTTTCTTCTTCTTCTTCAATCCTTCTGTCAGAAAACTTATATCAGGAGGCCGGTAGCCTTTATGAAAGCTATCGTGCAATCCATATCCTCTCGTGTACCATACAGTTTTGTCTTCATTGTGGTTGGAACAGGCCAGATTGCGTCTCTGTTGTCAGCATACAGTTGATAGTGTTGGAGCACATGCTCAGCATTTTCGGGTGCCACGCTGCAGGGACACGTCTCCGTATTTCCTACACCGAAAAATTTGAACATATATTGACGAAATCTGTTGTGCCCAGTCCTTAGTCTGAATATAATACACTGTCCCTCTCTAGAGAGGCGTTGAAGTAAGTCTTGGGGAGAAAATCTGGTGTGAGGCGCTTGATATGACCAAAATATTTCAGCTTCCGAGACAGGATGCTGTTTATTAGCCAATCTTCCTTGATGTTCTGATCTTTTAAGATGTCAATATTTCTCAACTTCTTTATCCTAAGATGTCAATATTTCTCAACTTCTTTATCCAAGATATTCTGAGAATCTTTCTATAGCATTTCAGCTCAAAAGCCCCTATTCTCTTTCTCAAGGACTGAGAGATAGTCCACGACTCACATCCGTGTGTAGCCACAGGGAAGATGCATGCTCTCAAAATTGAAAATTTATATCTCTTTGCTGGTGCTTAACCATAGACTTTTAAGGCTGATCGATCTTTGCATTGCTATGGCCATCCTTCTTTTAATTTCTGTCGAACAGTCTCCATTGTTGTTTATTATAGAGCCTAGATATTCAAAGTTTGTGACATTTTAAAATTCTTCATCATTTATTGTTATTTTTAGGTGACAGCCAGTTTTATCTTTGGACATTATTTTCGTTTTCTTTAAATTCAAGAACAGATTTTGATCTTCACTGTGCTTTTGGACAGACAATGTTAAATGTTCTATTTCCTTTACGCTGTTCGAAAGGAGGACTGTTTAGTATTCGTTTTAATTTCTTTTGATCTCCATAAATTAAATAGTACTATGCAAGCTCCTCTTGCCTTTTGTATTCGTATTTTAATATCTCTATCAGTTCTCCATTCTTTATCTTCATTACTACCCAAAGAAGTATATGACTGTACAACTTGGAGTGAGGTACAGTTACCAGATTATCATTTGCGTGGTTTATTCAAATTGTCTGTGTCTTTCCCTTATATATTTTCAAGTCTAGCTACTATGATCTCACATTACATATATTAATCTTTCATTTGTGTGGGGCAGGAGAGAAATATCACCAGCGAAGTCCGGATCGTCAAGCTGTTTTGTAGGGGTCCACTGAATTCCATTCCTCGTGTTAGCAGTTGCTTTCTTCATAATCCAGTCAATAGCCAGTAAAAACAGAAGACATCCCCGTCGCACACCTATTGTTATTTCAGATGTGTCTGTTAGCTTTTCCTCATGAAGAACTCGACATTTCATGTCTTTATATGTTGCCTTTACGAGGTTATTAATTTTCGGTGGATCCCATAGTGTCCCATTATTTCCAGAGAGTCCCTATCATTGCTGTCAAGAGCTTTAGCATAGTCTAAAACTCCAATGTAAAGTGGTGAATTAATACAATGTTTTGCTCTATTATTATTTGTAGTGGAGCTATCTGGTCGGCACAGGATGTGTTTGGCCGAAAATCTGCCTGTTCGTCTCTTAGCATTTTTTTAATTAAAAGCCTCTTTCAGTGTTTCAAAAATAATTCTACTTAATAGTTTTTTAAGAACTGACAGAAACATAATTCCTCTATAGTTTTCACAGTCCTCTAGATCACCTTTTGTGGGCAGTTTCACAAGATATCATTCTCTCCAATCTGCTGGTATTTCTTCGGTCTCCCAGACTTTACTAAAAAAATATATGTAGCAATTCCGTTGACGTGTTTATATAGGCCTTGAAAACTTCTACTAGGATACCATCTGGACCTGCAGCCATTCCTTCCTTAAGAAAATTGATAGCTTTCCTAATATCCGCTATAAATGGTATCTTACACTTGATATCCAGTCCCATTTCTAAAGGCGGGATATCTAGAGGGTCCCCTTAGACTGGTCTATTCAAAAGTATTTCAAACTATTCAGGCCATCTGTCCATTTGATCTCGACTGTTAGTGAATATCTTACCTTTACACATTTTATTGACCTTTTCATATAAAATGCCTATCTATGCCTATCCCATTACCCCCCAAAAAAATAGTCTGGTAAAATCCTGAAACAGGTACACTGCACGCAATGAATGCTGGAGTCGGCGGCTAGAGTTGCAATGTATGTGTGTGTGTATGCGAATGTGTGTGTGTGTGTGTGTTTGTCAATGTGTGTGCCAATGTGTGTGTGTGTCAATGTGTGTGTGCATGTATATGAAACGTGTGGGGAAATAGATTGCAGTATCCAGATATTGTTTAAACAAAAACAAAAACAAAAAACTGGTAGCAAGGATTGGTATGTACAGATCTCACCTAAATAACTGGAAATGCCTGTGTGTAACTCATGGCCTCTGCCAATCAAGTCAACCGTACCTACACGCGGTGCTACCTGTTGTAACAAACACGGCTCTGGTGCATAGCGAGTCTCCATCGCTAACAAAATTTATTCCCTATGCCTGAAGGGGTAAAATACCAGGCTATGGCTGGAGTAAGCCAGACAGAAACCCTCGGTGGAGTGTGACCCCCCGTAAGGTGCGACCGATGCTGGGCCCACCGGCGCGTGTACTTGTCCCGATCCCCACCAAGGTCATACCCAGGGAGCCCACCCTCGATAATCAAATGCAGAGAAGGGAAACTCCTACAACCTCTGATTTCTGGCAGGCAGTATTTGGATGAACCAGGACACGGGCAGGGAGACTCCGTAACCTCTCCCATCGAAGACGGACGGACATGTCGGCCTGAATGGCGTGGGCACCCAGAAATCGAAACGGACATCAACGCAATCTACGGTTAATGAGTATGCTTTTATACCTACACCGTTATGGGACTGCTCATGTGGACAGGAGCACAGGACACGTCGCGCGACACGGCCATTCATGAATGGCAAGGGAAGTCACTCTGTTTCTGGGCCCAAAAACGCGAGTTGTACCAAAGGGTCCTCTACTCGTGTGCGTACTTACTGAACACAACACAATCTCAGCAGTACTCACTCGGGAGAAAACTCGATGGACACGCTGAACTCCTCCTCTTGGGAGAAAATGATCCGGTCTCCGATCTGACCCTGTGGCTGACCCACTGGCTGACCGCTCTTGTCTGAAGAAGAAAAAGAAAAACCATGAATTGGTAAAAAGCTGTGATTGTCATCCTCCGCCACCTAATTAAGACTGCATTTATTTATTGTTTCTTCCACAGACACAAAATTAAGACATGAGGTGTCATGTTTCCTTCCCATCTCACTTCCCCTGTCTCAAACTCAAGGGACGACCTGATACTTATTTAATGGCATTTAATGTAATATCAAAGTGACCTTTAGCTAAATGGAAAAGATTCTTATCAATCCAAGGCGGGCCCCCCCCCCCCCCCCCCCCACAAATAATAATGAGGTCCCAGAAACCCATACAGGTTTAAATTATCAGATTACTGTTTAGCAAAAGGAAGCGATCCCTTATATTGTAACTTTCAGTCTTGTAAAGTAAAAAGGTCCCTTTTCCCCGCTTTTAGGCGTATAGGGCATATAGGTGGCCAGCAACAGCCGATCGCCTTCATTTTCCAGGACAGCACCCACTCAAGGCAGGGTCGACCTAGGAGCCAAGGTCATTTTTTTTTAAAGTCCGGCTCCGCCAGGGTGCGAACCCACGACCTTCCGATCAGCAGAGAAACGCCTAGCGGCTCCGCCAGAGCGACTCCCTTTTCAGCCTTGTGATATAGTTTAATGTATCCAGGCAGTTCTCTTTAACCTTACTGTCCATTAGTATATTGAAGTTTTGATAACAATGACTTACTCGGCGAATTCTGCTGCTCGTAAAACTCCCGCCGTCGCTTCATTTCATCTGAAAAACAAGAACATTCATTTCATTTCTGGGGTCTTAGAAAAGTAAAATGTGACATCTCACTTGTTCCAGTAGCGTCGACAGAAGAAGCATCTACCCATCCATCCATCCGTCCGTCCGTTAGTCCGTCCGCCTGTCTGTCTGTCTGTCTGTCTGTCTATCATAAAAGTCGACTCATTGTGGCTTCCTTCTAAGCCGGAATGCATCTGCCTGAGAGGCAAGGAACCAGCGGTCCGCATTCAAATAGGTCAGGTTTGAATAACATATGCGCAGATGTAGATAAACAATCAGAACGTGCTGCCAAAGTTTATAGCCAGTGAACGCGAAGCAGAAGATGATTCACAAAAATGAACACAAATGGTTGAGGATTAATATTATTAGTGTACTTCTACAATATATAATTATACTATTAGTCAACAATTAGTAAAGAGGCAAAGAGTGACTTGCTGTGAGAGGTTAGTTAGTAAATATTGTCTTTATCCACTTACCCAGAGCTCCGACAGATCTTGACACAATTTATCCACAGTGTAGTTCACCATTTATGCACAGTCAATATGAAAGCAATAGTTTTCTTCCAATACAAGAAAGTTTGCACCTGACAACTGTCAATATTCTCCAGATCTGGCTTCTAAATTACCTCTTTGTATTTCCCCCAGAAGTAAGATTTCCACATTCACAGTAGAAAAACATTAAACAGCCAGTTTCCAAAAAAATCCAAAACTACTGACTAGACGCAGTGACACACACATCACAACACGACTGTCTCCCGTGAATTAAAATTAAAATTGCAGTAATCTAACAGCAAAGTTTGAAAATCTTGTGTATCCACTTTACAATATCTGCTTGTCGATTTGTAATACTAATACATTCAGAACACAGAATTTGTAAGCACATTAAAATGTCACACAATGCAACATACGGAAACCGCTTCCACTAATCACTTTTTGATGGACTCCTTGCCAAAATGTCACGTGATTAGCTGTGCGGACTATTTATAGTCTAAAGATAGACGTGGTTAGTAAAATGTGGGAGCCCTTGTATAACAGTATCGGTTAACGAGGTTTACCGGGTTGTGTACATGTGGAATTCTGAATTCATAGGTGTTGATCTGGCGGACTGCAATCCTAGGTGGATGAACTGCAATGCAACAGGTTGACTGAATGACGCGCTTCACGTGTATCCAGTCAGAGTACGACCGGAGAGTTAGCACCCATTGACTTTTAATATCTGCCGAGTGGAACGGGGCGTTTATGGGCGTGCCAGAGTATCCCAGCGTCACTTTGTTAGAGAAATAACCAATTACTGAATCAATCAATCAAACCAATTTAACTTAATGTGGGGAGAACTAACAGTCAGGCAGCCACAAAGAGAACACAGAACTACGAGAAGAAACTGATTTTTAACAACCCAGGGCGATTAATTCGGAGTTTGCTATAATAGATGGGTTGACAGGCGAAATATCGCAGCCTAGCTGTAAACCCAACAGCAAGTGATGATAAAGATTACAGAGATGCTGAGTGCGTCAAAAGGCAATATACAACACTACTTACTCTGAAAGAGTCCAGGCACCATCTTATACACAGCATTCTGTAGCGCATGATCCAACCTGGGTACAAGGAATAAAACAAATGGCATAATAACAAGAAGCATTGTGTATTTTCTTCTCTTACGTACACGGGGGCATTGTTTTATTTTTATTTTATATCCATAACTATATGGATTTAATTGCCCGGCTTCGTCTGGGATAGTGAAAAAAAAGTTTTATTTTCATCTTTGTCTCCATCGCTGCGGTATATGTAGTAGAAACTCCTTCGAGGAGCTAGCACAATACAAGCCTTCCGTCTTTGAGTTTCTCTTCGTAGCTCTCATTTCCTAAACCACAAAGTCCCATTTCAGGGCATGTCTGATGATTCTCTAAATTTTCAGTAGCAAATACATTTTTACAGAGTGTGGGGGCTAACCCTGAGTCACGGTCCGATTTGGAGTGGTAGGGGCGTCCTAGATAAGTTCTTTCCATAGTTAGCGCTAGCGCCACCTTAGCGCCTCTTTGGAGTCATGGGGCAGCGACTCACACTTCATTTATAATGAGCACACAAAGAACAGAAACAGTGTGTGATTTATAGTATAGATTATACAAAAGTATATAATGTCCTTAATGAACTCAATACTCCTCACACCCCACTTTTCCACTGGTTTAAGTCAATCTTTCGTTTTCCTTTTCAATCCCTAGGTTTCTATTGTGTGTTTTTAGACCCCCCTCTAGTTTTATTTTCTTGCCTTGGGTTCCTATAAATGATGCTCTAGTTAATACCATTAACATCGTTACACTTTGTATTTTAAATGTGCTCAGCTCCTATCCAGGCTCAGCGGCTTTTCCTCGCTTTATGCTATGACGAATTTGGTTAGTTTATTTGACAGCTCAATTTCAGTCACTGTTACAACAGTTTAACTTTTTCTTTCTAAAAACGTCTGTACGTTATACAGTGCCGACCTGATAAGCAGAACTTACCGGGGAACTAAGAAATGTTTATTCTTATCCGAAATTCCTCAAGCTAGAAAAATGGCCGGGTATGCACAAATTGTTCTTCACAACAGAAATTCGCCACATATGGAATCACGTTTAGCGGTCTGTACTGTAATTAATTTAAACTTTTAACCTTGTAAAAGCGATATATATGTGTGTGTGTGTGTGTGTGTGTGTGTGTGTGTGAGAGAGAATTAAAAGAGAGTGTACATACTTGCAACATGTGATTTATTCCTTTCCTAATTTCTTCTTCCTCTTCCTTCTCGTTCTCTCTGTTTCGCATGCAACGTTGGTCTACTTCTGGACTTCGGTCTAGTTCCAGAACTTCAGTCTGCGTGTGCATCCGTTTTACAGATCAGGTACAGATGTACCTCGACTTCAAAGGAAACCCGTCAAATCAGTCAACGCTGACAACACAGCTGTTACCGGGCAGTGCACCTAACGGGCTTCCCCATAATGGGGGCCTAGAACCCACAGACATCTCCCTAATCTAATTTACCCATAACTTGCATCTCTTTTCTCTTACTAAAGGTATCATCTTATTTAGAACTCGCCGCTGGCTTCTGCAGATGAGATGGAGCACTTATGGAAATTTCCCAAGTGCGATGATGTGAATTCTTAAACTGACCTCTTGTTTTAGTCACCCCGACAGTATCCCAGTATTCGCCTCATTTCAAACACGTTCTAAAGAAGCTAACTAGATGGGTCACTCACCTGATATTCTGCCAAGGACGAGTCTTGTGAATGAGAACCTCACAAATTGGGCAGTAGTTGCTAGTCTCCAGGTAACTCAGAATGCACGTCTTGCAGACTAAAGAGAGATTTTAAAAAAATCAGTTTATTCAAAACACATTATTTCACTGACTTCAACCCGAGGATCCGTTAACCCTTTGTAGTCTTAAAGGGTTTCTTTTGTATGCTATACAGGGCAAAAGTCTTAGCCCATACATAACTAGAGCATATATCAAACCGGTGCTGCTGTAGTAGGTGCTCTACTTATAACTTCTTTGGAATCTGAACTGGGATGTGCCCAGCTGGTCTGGTGACAAAAATGTATTTGCAAGGGACATTATATATATATATATATATATATATATATATATATATATATATATATATATATATATATATATATATATATGTGTGTGTGTGTGTGTGTGTGTGTGTGTGTGTGTGTGTTTGTGTATGTTGTTGTTGTTTGTTGTTTGCGTTCACCGGCTGTAAACTCCAGTGGAAAGACCTGGTTGTTCATCCATTTCTGGGGCTTTGTTCCAGGAACCTCAGTTTTGCGTGTGCATCTGTTTTACAGATCTGACTTATTTGTATGCAGACTGCTGGTTCCTTGCCTCTCAGGCAGATGCACTCCGACTTCAAAGGAAGCTCCCAGTTAGTCGACTCTTACAACATGCTTTTTGGGGAGGCAGTGGATCTGTTCTTGTTTTCCCTATAATAGGGCCCCGGAACCCCACACGGAGGTATATATATATATATATATATATATATATATATATATATATATATATATATATATATATATATATATATATATATATATATATATATATATATATGATGTTTGTTTATACATCCTTCACTTTATAATTCAATATGTACGTCGTATGTTGCAACGGACAGGTGAAATTCGTCCGTCAGACCAACTTTATTTTAGGGTAGTACGAGCTTCCAGAAAAATCGTATTAGAGATTATTTGTGAGTTTTATATCACTGACGCAGCAAACACAGAAGAAGAGTCTCAGAAAGTATGAATAAAAAGTCAGACTGTGTGTAGATGGACAGGCAAACGTGAACAGAATCCTTAGTTGAACAACCCTGTATTGAAGCAATAACTAAGACAAAAGAACTGACATATTACTAGTTGACAAGCCAGACAGGGTAAGTTAATGAGGCATCGGTTTCTCTAGCATTTTTCTCCTCTATTCACCTCGCCTAAAATTGGAACCAGATAATGTGCTGGGAAGTAAAAGTGACCGGTGTGATGTTGACCACAACAAAAATGAGTCTAGCCTTACTCTTGAAACAACCACAACCAACCAAATTATCTAGCACAGCAGCCGTTAAGTGAAGCCCCGAGGTAATCTTAAACTTGAAACAAAACTCTATCTAGGTCAAGCCCGATTAATTACCCGTGGGAACGTGGCTTTCGATGATGAGTGAGTGGGGTCGAGCTGGGGTCATGTTCATCATCACCGGCTTGTCTGACCTCGGGTCAGTTAAGGCAACTGCCAAAAGGAAATGGCTGAGAACCACAGCATGCATTGTACGAGAGACGTTAAAAATAAAGGGTGGGATCTTTTATAATCTCCCCAGCCGTTCTAAGTCACGTTCCATTCATAAATTTTTTAGACAGGACTGCTGTCCTGGGGGTTACGGCTATGTTGTTTCCTTTCTGGCTTGTCTTGCATTTACGTGTTTTTTTGTGTTTTTTTTTTCCAAAAAAGAGAATGCCCGTGACATAGGTTGCAGCACTTTCTAGAAGAGTTGCAGGTTAGACCCAGTTTGTAAATGTTTTTTAAAGTGTTAAAAACGCTTGCGTGCTTAAATATACAAGATGCGAAATCAACGCATTGCCGAACACCCCCCCCCCCCCCCCCCCACTCGCACCCTTCGCAGTGTCCGAATGTCGGGTGACTGGAGGTCGACAAATCAGAAGCGAGCTAGTGTGTAACTTGGGGAGATTATAGTGGGACTATTCAAATAAAGTAATGCTTCCATTTTCCCCCCCATCTATGAAAATACTGCGCCTGTGTGTAATTTGTAAATTTAGCAGGATTAATCAAACATCTTCTGCACTGTATAGCAGCAGTACCAACCTGTTTAAGCTACAGGTAGCGCCAATGTAACGGTTTTTAAATAACTCCGCAAAGACGTTCGGTTGAAACAATGTCATGTCTTAGAATTCCTCAATGCTGAAGGCGAGGTCCCAACTCGCATCCACGAAGGTTTAAAGAATGTTTATGGAGATTCAACAGTGACATCAGCACTGTGTCAGACACATTGTGTACCTCGTTAATGATGGAGCTGAAGTAGGTCAATCCTCAATGGCTGATGCAAAGCATACTGGCTGTCCATCTTTCGCATTTACTAGACATAATATTCATGGATATGATTGTATCATCCATGATGATAGTCCAGTAAAACTGCCTTTACTAACGGACAGCACAGAGTACAGTTATTCCAGTGTTATCCGACAGATACAGTATCTACATAGGAAAGAAGAAAAATACGAGGCATCCTTTTTGTTTACCGTCCCTTGTATATTGCTCAAATATGTGTCACGTACACAAACTGCCTGTCTGTCTTTTCTGCTTGCATTAAGTTTTTCAGGTTGTTCTGAAGCGTGGTTAGTGCAGTCGTCACGAAGTGTGCAGGCTGGGTTTTTTGGGTGCGACTCTCGTACACCACCTGTCTCAGTGACACGAGAAATTTCTTTTTCTAAACCATCCGCCGCCGTCAATGCTTAAGTTTACTACTACTGACTATGCAAAGAATTTATGATTCCAAACTGGCATATGTTGAAACATACAATTATATCTGTTACTACTAACCTAAGTGTTCTAGATTCTAATGTAACATATGTTGCAACATAAAAATGAATTAATTACTGCTGGCAAAAGTTTGTATGATTCTAATGTAACATATGTTGCAACATAAAAATGAATTAATTACTGGTGGCAAAAGTTTGTATGATTCTAATGTAACATATGTTGCAACATAAAAATGAATTAATTACTGCTGGCAAAAGTTTGTATGATTCTAATGTAACATATGTTGCAACATAAAAATGAATTAATTACTGCTGGCAAAAGTTTGTATGATTCTAATGTAGCATATGATTGGTATATTATAATGACCACTGACTCAAGTATTTTTAATTCTTCTTCTTCTTCTTTGCATTCACCAGCTCTAAACGGGTGGAAAGTTCTGGTTTTCGTCCACTTCTAGATTCTAGTCCTGTCCCATAACCTGAGTGTTGCGTGCACATCCGTTTTACTGATCTAACTTATTTGTAATCGGGCTGTTGGTTCCTTCCCTCTGAGGTAGATGCACTCCGATTTCGAAGAAAGCTCAGAATTAGTCGACTCTTACAATGTGCTTTTAGGTAGGCATTGGGTCTATTCTTGCTTCTCCAACAACGGGGCCTCAGAACCCACACGGGCATATATAATTCTAAAGTGACATAGGTTAGATCAGATAATTATATAAATTACTATTAACCCAAGTATTTATAATTCTAAAGTGGCATATGCTGGGATAGAAAGTGGTATTTTGGGGGCATTCTGGTATCGCTATTTCTTACGTTAGTCACCCTGGCGCAATTGTTTGCAGTTATTTACTGACACTCATCGGTTGGGTCGTGGGTTCGCTCACTGGCGCAGACGGACTTTTTTTTTTTTAATGACCTTGACTCCCAGGTCGATCCAGCTTTGAGTGGGTACTGGGTGCAGTCCCGGAAAGTAATTATGACCACATCACACATCTTGTGCCGATTGGTCTATAAAAATATAGGTCTAGCCCTATATGCCCTATACGCCTAAGGACGTGGAAAAGGGACCTTACTTATCGGTTGCAGAAAGTGGCTTATAAAGCCCATTCTAGATTTGACAATTCACACACCAAATACACCTGACCAAATTGTTTATGACTCTAAAATGGCGAGTGATGAGACAGCAAGTGGTGTCTCAAGCATTCTGCTGCCAATTCTTACTCAACTCACTAGTGATGACCGGCTCTCTAGCTTAGTTGGCTAAACCGGATTGCGCAGAGACCGGGAGACGAACTCCTTGTGGTCCGGGTTCAATCCCGGGGGTAGGCAGGAAAGCCACATTTCTCCCAGATTTACGGTATTTACAATGGAATCAAGGCCGAAAGGTTGCGATATCCATAATACCGAGCCTAAGTGTTAACAACTCATGGCTTCTGGATTCTAAAACAAACAAACAACAACTCACTAGTGACCTAAGTTTTTAAAACTTTAAAGTTAGAAGTTAGTAGAGCTTATGATGGTTAGTTAGTTGCCTATCCTTTTTACAGGACGTTGCAGAACCAGCCCTAACAGCTACTGGCTGCTGTGTGATTTTTCTAGGCAAATTTACGTCCAGTAGTTTGCCATTTCTTTCTAGACGGTTAGCTTTCTTGATAGCACTGTCGAAACCAACGCAAGACGCATGGCCCGCAGCTAAGAGAGCATGCGATGACAGGAACAAATATCTGAAAGTTTCTGGTAGAGAAAAGAGTAGGTATTGTAGGTTCCCCGTCTGAATGCAAGGACTCCATTCTGGGGGAAACAAGAATTGACCCACTGCCTTCCCAAGAAGCATGTCGTAAGAGTTGACTAACTGAGTGCTTACTTTAAAGTCATCTACCTGAGAGGCAAGGAACCAAAAAATCTGCATATAGGTCCGATCTGTAAAAGGGATGTGCAAGCAACGCTCAGGTTGTGGAACAAGACTAATGTCCAGAGGTGGACGAACAACCATAACTTTCCGCCGCAGTTTACAGCTGCTACTATTATAACAATGCCTTGGTGGCAGTAAAGCCCTACTTCCAACCTCGCACTTCGGTCTATTATGACTTTCATAGATACTGACTGGGAGTCGCCGTGGCGTTGGCGGCTAGACGCCAGCCTGCGGATCGGAAGGTCGTGAGTTCGCGTCATGACGGAGCCGGACCTTTATCTCCTTCAAAAATGACCTTGGCCCCCAGGTCGATCCAGTCTTGAGTGGGTACCAGGTGCAGTCCTGGGAAGTAAAAGAATCCGACCGGATGTTGACCATATTACCCAGAAGTCCC